TTGTTGTGATATCGGACAGGTTTTGTTGAATCAGTGAACCCAACCTTTAATATAATAATAGTTTTAAAAAACTAAAAAAATAAGGGTTAATCTGGCCATCCTAATTTTCTAAAAATCACAAGTTTCACCTTTCTCTTGCAACTGTAGGCAGATCACATTCCTCTATTCAGAGAGTCATTAATAACTACAAAAACACTAGAGACTACGTCTCACGATCGCGAACGGGTCGACCATCCCTTCTAACATACCGAGAGGAGCGAAGCATTATGCAGCAGGTACGAAAAGAACCTAGGCTGACAGCAACAAAAATATCAGAAAATGTACAACAGCAGTTTCATAAGACAATCAGCAAAGATACAGTGAGAAGAATATTATCAAAGACCAACTACCAGTCACGTTGCATGAAAAAAACCATTTGTATCAGATGTCAATCGAAAGAAGCGGATCGCCTTTGCTAAAGAACACCTAAATAAGCCTATAGAGTTCTGGGAGAAGGTTCTTTTTACAGATGAGAGTAAATTTTGCATCTTCGGCATTAAAGGAAAACAACTTGTGTGGAGAAAACCCGGTACTGCCCTTGATCCTCAAAACGTAAAAGCTACTGTAAAACATGGAGGTGGTGGAATGATGGTTTGGGGGTGTATATGCACCAAAGGAGTAGGAAAATTGGCATTTATAACATCTACAATGGACCATAAACTATATATAGACATTTTAAAGGAAAATTTGAAGCCAAGCACCGACAACTTGGGTTTGGGGTCCGAATACATTTTTCAACAAGACAACGACCTAACCACCCCACAATACCAAACTTTGGCTGCTACATATATAACACCCCAAGACAATTGAAAACATCCCCACAGTCACCGGATTTAAATCCGATTGAACACTTGTGGGATTTATTGGAACGCAGGATTCGTCAACATAATATAACATCGAAGGAAGTGCTAAAAAGTGTTATGATTGACGAATGGGCAAAAATCACTAGGAAAGACACGAAGAAATTAATACAATCCATGCCGAAACGTTTAAGGGAGGTCATTAAACGTAAGGGTTATCCGACCTCCTACAAATATATTATAGAAGAATATTTAAGAAGTCGCCTTGATCTGTACGCAGATTTTTGCATAGGCATTATTTGAAGTATTTTTAGTTTAAATTTTTTTTATTAAGTAATGTTTATATTTTATTGATTTATAGTTTGTTAATAAATTACATAATACAGAAAAAATATGAGTTGCAGTTTATCGCATTAGATTATCACTATTTTTTTACCGCTTAAAGCATACTACGTTCGTTGTACGCAGACTTCTGCTGCTGAGTGTATATGTACGGATTTTTTTGGTAAGTCATTAAATAATATCTAATTGAGTTGTTTTAGATTGTTCTATGTTTTTTAATTCTTATTGTGTAATATAAAACCGCTGACACAAGAATTACTGATTGAAACTTCCAAAAACTTTAATTTTCAAATAGTAAAGTGCCCTGTAGAGAATTGTTCTAGTGAAAATAATAGCTGTTCCAGATAGCGTTAGCTATAATAAGTATATACTTATAATATGGAATTGATAATAGAAAAACTATGGTCACAGCAATCAACTAGACATTTAGGCGGCCAAACCTATTTTTAGGTATAACTTCTATAATGCTGTATATCATAATTTTGATTTTCTAGAACAATAACTAGAACAACTGGAACAACCCAGAACAACAAAGAAAAATTGATTTTTCCAAAAATGGGGGGCTAGTCAAAAAACCCGTTTTTTCGGTTTGCCGCTTTGGAACAATGTGGAACAACTCTAGAACAATCTAGAACAACAATAAAAAATGTAAAAATCAAAAAATGGGGGGCTAACTTCCCGCACTCTACGTTGCAACCACATGGAACGCGTAACGGTCGTCTTGTCGCCACTACTACGCAACACGTGAGCGTATCGAGACAAAAGAACAGCCGAACAACAAGGATGAACAGAAGGGAACGGTCAAATTATACACCGCTAAGAGTTACATTTTCACTGTTTGCCGTTATTTTAACAATTTTATTGAGAAAGTAAAGAAATAAACCTGAACGTAGTTGATTCACATTCCCATTGGGTGTTATTCTTTTTTAAACCTGTATATAGTATTTAAATTACCTCCGAAAAGTGTTACATTTACAATTATTTTCTGAAATATTAACTCTATTCGGAGATGTTTCAACACCGTGTAAATTCACTCTGTAAAATTTTTATCTGTGTAGGATATGTGGACGATATCCTCATTGTTTACAACGGTAATCCCGCTAGGTTTCATGC